CGTGTTTTTGATGGTATTGTCATGGGTCTGTATGTTTGGTAATCCATATGTGAATATTTAGGGGCAACCGAAGATTTAACGGTTGATTGTAAGGTTACCTGTGTTTGTGAAGGATTTGTATTTCTTGGTGTTGTTAAATTTGGGCGTATTGGTGAAATACTTTGTTGTGTAGTTGTTGTGTGTACAATTTCTTCATTTATGAAGTGTGATGGTGTCTGGATATCTTGTTGAGTAAGATTCCTAGTTCCATTGAGGTTTTCATTGTGTATAACTGTAGAGTTTAAACTATTATTTTGTGTATCGGGCAAAAATGTATTATAGTTTAATGGTGTTGCATCAATGGTTAATGGTATTACTTTTACATAATCTCTTATGTAAGATATCGTACTTATTGCTTGACTTGAGATTGATTGTGGGAAGCTTATAAATGCGGGATGAGACCATTCGGGGTCCCAAACATAATCTGATTGTTCTGTGATAGCGGTATCATCGTTCGAGTTTTGGGGTCTAAAATTTTTTCTTGCTTGTGCAATTAAATCAATATTGTGTGTGAAATAATCTATTATGAACCATGCCAAAATTTTTTGTAGATCGTGTTTTGTATGTTGTGAAACGTCGTCTTTCGTGAAATTTTCTTTAATGATGTTTAAATAACTAGAGAGTAGTGTGATTTCATGTCGTACTCTTAAATGTTTAGATGTTTCTGTCGGTGAGACATTTGTTATTGGGATTTCGTTTTCTAATATCGAAATATAACTATATATTATTGCGAAAACTTCATTGGTGAATATGGAGTTTGCTCTTTGTGAGTTATGATATTGGATGCTTTTTATATATTCTGAAAAAACTTTTGAAAATTCTAAATCAAGATCGTCTGTTTGAATTGTATATTTTCTATTATTATGGTTTGGTGAGGTGAATTCTATGGAGTAGATTCCATACTGTTGTGTTATGTTGCATATATCTTTTAAGTAGTGGTCTATGATTTGTCTTTTGATTTTTACATCTGGGAACTCTGTTTTACATGGACTAATTCCGGGTTCAAATAAATTTACGAGTAAATTTTGACAAAATATGTGTTGTCCTCTATCAGTATCTGCGTCTACTATAAAAGGAAAGATTTCATCATCATCTGGACTTTCTTCACCTGGGGTGTGCGTTGAGCTCATTTTTTCGTTCGATGACTGTTAATATGTAATTATCAATGTGTCTAATTGGTTGATTCCAATTGTATAAATGTACTGGTTTGTGTTTATACTGCTTTTTTATTCTTCTTTTTCCTCTTTTTGATGAATTTGAAGTTGTTTCTGAGTCAGAAAAATATAATTGATCGTGAAGTGGGTAATTTTTATCTATTGATTCTTTTAGTTTGTAAAGTTCGTCTAAACTATTGGTTTCTGATTCTGAAAATGCGTTTCGATTTTTTGAAAATCTTTTTCGTGTTATTTGTCTTTGTTTCGTTATTATTTTTCTTTTTAGTGTTTGTCGTTTTGTTCGAATGTATCCAACTGTTTGTGTATGAGGTGTGATTACAAGGTCGTATTTTTTGTTATCTATTTCACAATTGTGTAAAACGATTGTTTGTTTATTTCCTAGGTTTTTAAATGACATAAGGTTTAGAATGACGGATGCAAAGGGTTGTTAAATGGTTTCTATTTTCTTAAACTGTTAGTTCTTACGATTTTTTGGTTAGCTTAACCTGGGTCTGTTTGTTCAGGGTTGGAGAGAAAAGTATATCGATTCCGAAGAATGATTTTTTACTTTCTCGTGGCTAGTATAAGTTAAGGTGTTAACTTACTTAATCTTACTTAGGGGTAGTGATTGTGTTCAAGGGTTGGAGAATAGTAAATCGATCCACAAGGTTCAGGTATAATTAGAACGCGAGTAGTTCGTTAGATACTATTTTAAACTTACTAAGTCTAAGATTTATCCTGGGTCTGGTAAGAGGGGGGGTCAAGTGAAGGATGAATAACCGAAGTTCTTCACTGTTTATCCTAATTTGAATGATTAGTTTTGTTTAAAAATTTCTATTAGTCTTAGGTCTTTAGAAAGGGTTGGGTAGTGAATCGACGTTTGAGGTCTTTAGACACTAATTAAGTGGGTGGGGGAGAACAAAGTTGTTCTGTTTGATCCAAGGATAAGCCTTGATGATCAAATTTGAAATTTAATTAAGTAGAAAATGATTTAAGATCCAAGGATAAGCCTTGATGATCTGGTTTTAAAATTAAGTGAATTTAAGTTTTAATAAAATTTTAAATGTGTGTAAAGGAAAAATTTAGTGTTTTGATGATATTAGTGGGTTTATGATTGCTGTTATGTTTTAGGTGATGGAGCTGGAACAACAGGATGATTTATGATTATTAACCATTTATTGTCATGCTACTAATTTTTATTTTTTATTTTTCAATAAATATTTTTCAAACATGTTTTGTATATTACTGTAGAATTTTAGGAAAACGATCTTAGATCTTTTTATCAATCGTTATTGTATATTAATAATTTTGTTTAGCGCCTGAAATGATTTTGAAGATTAACTTCAAGATTTTATGTTTGCAAATGAAAATCTAAATTCATTGCCAGTAGTATTCTAAATATAAAAGTTTGTTCTGGTTTTTGCCTAACTATCATATAGCTATATGGCAAGTTTCTACTTTGTCGTATGTCGTCTCTGGTTCGAGGTCTTCTTCCAATTCCGGGTAGTTCTGTTATGGTTCGGAATATTGGCTCTGATCTATTGAGTCGTAGAGACATTTCGATTAAATTATTGTCGTATAACATTTTGTAAATGTTTTTGTCTAATTTCTAATCTATTTTGGTTAATTCTAAGCTATTAAGGTCTTGTTCGAGACTTATGGTCGCACCAGATGAGTTAGAACCGAGTTGGTTAACTCATAGAGTAATTTCGGATAGGGTACACCGTCTGCTCGTCACGCTATCTTATTTTCGGCCGGATAGATTCGTGCAACTTCTTAGTCTAATACCGATCCTAATCTTACTCTTATACTATCTAGTCTCAGGTTGTTTAACTAGTCTCTGCTAGGCTCAATAGATCTAGGGTATACTGGTTTATTGCGGTTGCTGAAGTGCTCGGGAGAGTCCAACTAATTTCTAAGTTAAATTCAAATCTCTCTGGTGCTGAAATTACAAGTAACTTCAGCACTTACAAATAAGTGGGTTGTTAGTTAGATGGATCATGATTGGTTAATATTAAATACTTTACATTGGTAAAATATCTAATTTATCCAATCATAAAATGTAGTTTAGATCAGGTTCCAGTTCGTAAACTTCAGACATTTCGAAAACAAACACACTATTCTAGCCTTCAAAGATCCACAAAACCCGAAAAAATGACCAACATTTTGAACCTCTTATACTTTTGTTCGATGGTTGTTTTCACGTTTCGAAAACGTATTTCGCACGACTCGTAGGCCAGCCTTCGGAAACCACTTTATTTTTAGAAGTGAACTATTCTGATTTTTCATTTTACTCAAATTCAGGGCTTTGGACTACAAGGAAGAGTTGCGATAGACTGGCGACATCTTACGTTGTTTATGAAATGTCTGTCTAGTTCTAATTAATTCAAGATACCCACGGACCCATTCGTTTTACCACCAGTACACTTCGTCAAAAAGTCAATTCCGAAAAAATATATATTTTGAATCGCGTTTGAACCTATTTTGTGTACTTCCAACGAGACTCAAAGCGTGTTTTCAACGCTTCCATCGCCGTTATACGCCTTATTAGTTACTTATATGCATGGTCATGTGTGTTGAAAGTTCAAAAACAGAATAACTAACCCGAACGTTAGAACAAAGAAAGTTTTACTTTTATTAAATTCTGGTAACAGTTTTTTCAACGAGGTCACTGTTGGCCAGTGTTGTACTCGCTCAAGTTGTTTACGCTTATCGCTATCTGCGCTTTTTCAGCCTCCGCTTATCGCTTCGTCGCTTATGCTTAAAGCGCTTACGCGCGACTTCGCTTACTTGAAAAATTTATAACGTGGGCGTATTTTGAAATAAGCCATGTGCCTTTGGTCATTCAGCAGCTGAATTTCAGCTCGAAGTAGTTGTAATAAAAAACAATGTTAAAGTGTCGCTTGCGCTTATATTTCGCTTGGCCTCCTAAGCGTCTACAACACAGGTGTTGGCGTCTGAAATTCATTGCCACCATTTAAAAAATTCTGGCCATGAATGTACTGTACGTAAGCATTTGATACGTTATCTGAGAACGTTTTCCCTGAGAACGTTAAAAGCGTAAAACTTCGTGCCTCTGTATAAATTGTTTTCAGTATTGCAATCAGGGTTCGAAATACTCTGAAATTTTTGTATCGCATAATTGCGAATCAAGGTTGCATATTGATTCGCAATCTCCAAATTTGTATCGCAACATTTTTGAGCCGTTGAATTTTACAGAAACATTTGCAGAAACAGTAATAAGCCATGGTGCTTTTTCTCGAACTGAACTGAAAATTCGGTGTCGATGACTGCTTTTGATTCGCAGAATTGCCAATCAAAATCAGAAAGTGATTCGCAAATCCCCGATATCGATTCGCAAATTGCGATGCGATACGGCTTAATTCGAACCCTGATTGCAATTGAAATGTTTATCGCAAAAAGTGTTGTTTGAGTTTTTCTCAAAATTTTCTGCGATACATATTCAAAAGCATTATATTACGAAAGCTTTGGCAAGTCTGGGAAAGGCCACAAATTTTGGTGGAGGGGTCGAATCCCAACTCCCTAAACCCCATGATGGAATACGATTTCAAGGGGAATTCAAATATGTTATTTAGTGTTTTATTGCTAAGATTTTTTTAATGTGCAAAAAACATTCGTAGTCCTTTATGATGGTTAAAGAGGGGAGTTCGACCAGCAAAATTTAGATGTTTTTTTTTGTGAGAAAAGCTGAGAAACCTTCCAGAAAAACAAAACAGTCGTAAGCACTAACCGCTTGGCAATCAATCACTACGGTACAGAATAATTCAAGAACAGAATGATACATACCCACATGGAAATGAGCAACGTCGTCGTCGTCACCGGCCTCATCCAGAACCCGCTGTTTATGCACCAAAATCTGCTCGAGCAGGGTCTTCGATGGTGAAAAGTCACACACCAATCGGAAGACTCCCGACCTCGGTTCTTTAGCCAAGTATGCCATGCATTTGTCCACCAGCAGATCTCGCACTTTTTGCATAATTTCAGCGTTCAACTTTTTTGTTCCCACGCCTTCCTCGATAAGTTGCAGGATATTGGCCTTGTCTGCTGGTTTTGAGGCCTCTGCGTTTCTGCTGTCAATTTCTGAGTATTTGCTGACAATGAGGTCGGTGTCAGTAATGTTTTCCGCCCACGACCCGTCTTCTTCAGCCGTGAAGACGACCTCGAATGGCTTCTTGTGAGTTATGGCAGTGTGAAACTCGTAGATGCACCAGATTCTGGAGAGTGGTACCGGGTTGTCCCACGGAGACATGACCGCCACGAAATGGTCCGAGTCGCGAATCGGCTGGCCGAACACGTTTTTCAGATAATCGGGGCTGACCGTGCCGCCATGCTGGGGGTAGACATAACAGTCGATGTAGAAATATTCGGAGGTTGATTTAGACTGAGAATATTTCAAGAGGGTTTTCAGAAAGCCGGACTAAAACACATGTTTCTATTTGTTTTTTATCCAGTTGTTCCAAATATGAAAGATAAAACGACTTAATAGGCGCATAAGTTAACTGAACAATACTTTGCTCAGACGTATTCGAATTCTTCACCTATTAAGTAAATAGTGGTAACAAAATATTATTGAAAAACTGGATATTAAAGAAATGTTTGTTCATCATAGGCTGGCACTGGCTTAGTCGGTACATGTAACAGCGTAAAAACAACAAAATATAGAGTGGTCATATGAAACAGGGGCGGCTTTAGAACATATTCCGAGGGGTGTAAATTGTTCTAGGGGGTTCGAGTAGAGTACGGAATTTCGCGTATTGGGTCGGGTCGGGCTTAACCTTTATTGACCATGCTTTTTTAGCAGCAATAAAAGTCTAAATTACGCGTTCCTTATGGATGGCATCAGCCAAATTTAGCTTCTTTTGTTCTAAAAGTAAAGTTCGGGTCGGGTCGGGTTTGACAAACGACTGTCGGGTCGGGTTAGGGTGCAAAAACAGAGCCCAATGCACATCACTGCTTCACGGTTTAATGCTAAAAGTAATCTAGTTTTCAAGCCATTCTAAAACGTCTAGTTATATAAACCAAAAGCCGCCCCTGTAAAAAAAAACGTTTTAATGATAGTTTTTAAACAAACACCGTTTGTTTGAAAAAAAAATTTATGTTTTTTTTCTTTTTTCAAAAACATGGTGATAAAATAATGTTTAGAAAAACTTTATTCAATTATATTAAATCAATTGTATTGAAATCATAAAAAATCAGTTTTTCGGCTTTTTGCTCTCAGTTTTCCATACTTTACGCCCAACTTGGAGAAACGACCTTCCTAACCAGCCCTCGCAGCCACTGCTGAGACCGATGTAATTGTTCTTATAATTAAATTAGATTCCCTGAGCTGTATAAAACACATTAAAAAACACTGTTTTGTATAGCACGCTTTTTATTCCATGTCAAAAAACGACACGTCAAAAAATGAACTCACGTGTTCGTATCTCCACGCGTGTGAAACAAAACATGTGGCTTCTGATACGAGAAGTTGGCCGGTCTCGTCCCGCTCTGAGGCATATAGGTCCACATACGCACATCCCGTGGACGCAGTGGCAGGCTTCACGATTGTTTCACACACCTGAAGGCACAATGATGATAACATAGTGAAAAGCAGAGCTGTTATATATTTTTTAGTTGTAAAGATTTTTGCTATCTTTTGGGAAAAAACATGTTTTCACGAGGAGTGGTAACCACTCAGTGGTTCAATACAAAGTTTGGAAAATAGAGCATCTTTGTTTTTCTCAAATCGTCATTAGGAGCGACAACTCGTGTGCGCTTGTCTTACAGGCGCCGATGTCATTCTTTTTCGAAGTGAAAAAAAAAAGTATTTGTTGTATTTCAGCCCAGATATCGACTGAACAGCTAGGTTTTTTTCCTTATAAGGATGGATCGCGTTTTTATGGATATACATGAATCCTTTAATGAATAAAAAATCTCGGACAAGTACATAATCCGTTCTTCTTCTTCGAGGTTCTTCGAAGAAACAATTAATAATATTGTAATTCGAGTGCTGGATCGTTCGCTGCCGGCTTTGCTCAACCAACTCGAAGTGAAGTCCCTACCTTCTTTAAATAATGGGGAAAGACCAAAAGAGGACATGACTAGGGGTACATAAATGGGATTTCTGAGTTTATAAAGCAACATTGAAAAAGTAAAAAAAAATGAAAATTTTTATTTTCCTTCACGGAAAATCTGTACTATAGATTTACTCCTAGCAAACGGTCATATTCAACAATTTCAATTAATTAACTGATCTGAATATAATTGTTTTTTAAAATCGGAAAAAATACAACTTAGATCTCGACAACATTTGTTTCAAAACCAATAATTAAAAAACGTCATTTCCGATAGTTGGAAATAGTTAATTTTCCGATATCGGAAATATTATTTGGTAAAAACCTATAGATATATGTGCTGAACAACAAAGACAGTTGCCATTAGGAAGAACACAAAAATTGGTTCCCAGCGGGACAGGAACTGCCGACTTGAGCAAGCGGAAGTAACCGATTCGGAAAAAAACTAAGATATCATTCCGTATATCTTCAAGATATCGGAATTAACAATATGTTAAACATATTTCAACCTTTTTTGACAGTATTCTTAAAATATAGCTGATAAAAGTAAAGTAAACTGCGGCAGTAAAATCAGTTTCATCCACTAACAGTGAATATGATATCTACTATATATAGCAAAACATTACTGATAGTATTTCAGATCGCCGAACATGCTAAAAGACCTTTTCCTAACTAATTGCATTTAATGAATCATTCTGGCAAAGTTTTGTAATTCCCCTTTTCCCCTACATGCAGTGATAACCAAATAAATAAATTTTATTGGAATAATCGCGATTTATTGGATGGTTATATTTCATTTATTGTTTCATTCGCAATTTATTGCATATTCGGCTTGATTTCGATGATTTTGTTCTGAAGAAAAAAATTATTGGAAAAATGCAATAAATTATTCATTCGGAAGAAATCAAACTTTCGTTGAAATTTTTCACATTTCGTATGGTGAGGCTTTTTTTTAGCTTATCAACCACCATATTTTTCATTATTTTTGCGAGAAACATACTTTCTGCAAAGCTTTAGGTTTGATTAGTTTGATGCAACCTATAAGAAAGCAGTAACACTTGAGTTTTTTCACCCTTCAAACAAAAATCCAATAAAAACTAACTCATTTTTATTGTAAAGATTTATTGCAATCGCGATTTAAATCGCGCTAAAATCTGTATTTATTTATTGGTTTACTTATTGCATCCAATAAATTTCCAATAAAATTTTTTTTGTCATCACTGCCTACATGTAATTGATTGCCGCTTTCTGACAAAACGTCTTTCCACTACATTTGATATTTGATGTGCCTCGATCAGCACGCAGCTGAAATCTTATTACTTTGATTTAACCGACAAGAAATTGCAAAATACGCTTTGTTAAAATGTTCCTTTGTTACGGTTAATTCTACTTAGTTACAAATAAGATCTGTTTAAAAAGTGAATTAATCTCTAAGTTAAAACATTAAAAAGTGAACAGTCATTCTCTCCGCCGGAAAGAATGAAGATAGCAAGGTCAAATCGAGATTAACCAGTTAAGATGCTTTAAAGTAATTAATGAAATAAAATGAATCACAACATTCCCCTTAGTGGAAAAAAAAAATTAGAAATACTATGCGCCATGATAACTAACATGTTAACTAACCCTTTTTCTCCCTCTCGAGAAGTCCAACAAAATCAAAATACTGCACGGTATAGCAAGCGTAATTTCAGAGCTCCGAAGGAATGACTGAATTTTCAGAGGTTAATAAAATCATAAATCCGGCGGATTGTAAATCCGTAATAAACGCTAAGTAAGTTTATAATTGTGCTAGGCAAATACTAATACAGATTATAAATGGCTAAGTGTGAGTTTTTTTTTAAAGTTTGAATTGAGTTTAACTGTCCCCTTCCATGAATTTCTCAAGCTCGGCGTTGAAAATTTCGCTATCTAAATCTATGTAATTTTCAAAGCAGTTCACGGCATCCCTCAGAGAATCGTCGGTAGAAGTGGTGGAAGATTGGTCAGGAGATTGGGTATAAGCTAGATCAGCTGAACTGTCATCCGGTAGTGTGTTATACGCGTGTGATTGAATATCCAAGGGATTCTCGCTGAATGTTTGTGGGGGGTAGTTCAAGTTATCTTCGTCGTCCAGAGATATAGGGTTGGTAGCGGAGCCCGGTTGGTTTTCTAACTCATCTATAATATCTATGTAATATCGCTTACCATAGAATTTTGGGGGACCAACATTTCGACTTGAACGTCTGAAAATAATTTCGTTACCGGTGGTAGTGGTTTCCTTAGGTTGTCTGTCCTCGCTGGTTCCAATTTCATCGGAAGAGTCCTCTATCTCGAAAACTGGGAAATCCACCGTTTTTTCTCCGACTATTGGTATTGTCAAATCCGAAGGAATGTTTGTTGTCTCCGTTGTCGTGGTAGTAGAAGGTTCGTCCGGTGGTTGTGAGGTAGTTTGGGGTGCTGATTTGTTGGATTTGTTGGATTTTGGGGGCTGGTTCGTTCCTCTAGCTCTGGTGGTGACCGGGGTGAATGACTCAGTGTGTCTTCCTGTCCTAGTGTCTGGTTTCCGCGTCTGTTGTGTCTTCGGTTTGTATGACTTTCTTGGACCTACTTGTAAATCACGGTTAGAGAAGAAAGGGAACGAGATATTTCCTTTGAATGAACGAATTTCAGAGGATTTAGACTTTGGGATGGCGATGTCCGACTTTCTAATAATTTTTCCGTCGGATAATTCAACCGTGAATTTTGTTGAGTTTATTATTTTCTGGCCTAGTTGTTTATAGAAGGGATTTCCGTTTATACTTCCGTTAGTTTTCCGTAGTAATTTACCTTTAAACGGGCTGTTTAAGGGCACTCGGGATGACGAAGGTTTTGAAGAAGTAGGGAGATCTGAATCATAGCCTTTCTCCAATGGTGACTGGTTCTTTTTCGGTATGAGGGAGTCTTTATATCCGTCCTCTATCCGATCGTCAGCGTTCCAGTCGAGGGCCCTTTCTCTGCTTAAGATCGACTTCCCTTTGTCTAAAATTCCACCGGATAAATTATTAGATGCCAATTGCTTCCAAATCGTGTTCGGTTTTCTTTTAAGGTGTATTTCGAACGGTGAGCATTTAATTTTAGATTGGAAGGAAGATCGTAGATTCCAAATGATTTTCGAAATGGCGGTTTGTAATGTAGGTTTTTGATGATCCAGTGACATTGCTAATAATTTAATTTTTACAGTATGTACAAGTTTTTCTACAAGACCGTTAGAACGATGATCCCCAACTGTACAAAATATTAGTTTAATATTAAGAGAATTGCAAAATAATTTAAAATCCTGACTAGTAAAGCAGGATGCGTGGTCGACCCGAATAGATTTTGGAATCCCATGGAGATAAAAAATAATCTTGAAGGAATTCGATTACTGTGTTCGATGACGTTGAAGATGTAATTTTAGCTGAAGGGAATTTTGAAAAACGATCTATACACAATAAGATGTATTTATTGTTTCCCCAGTTGTTATCTGGTGGGCCGGCGAAATCAAGATTTATTTCCTCATTAGGTTCGAATAAGGGGGGAAGTTCACTAATTTGTGTAGTTGGTATGATGCTTTTTATATTCTTACCAGTTTGAGTGCATTTTGTGCAATTGATCCCGTGGAAGTAAATTTGTCGATATATGTGTGGCCACCAAATGTATTGTGCTAAATACTTCATGCCGAATTGGCCAGGATGAGATTCATGTAAGGTTTTTAAGACGGCGTTTCTAAGTGTAAACGGAATAACCAATTTTCCATCCATATATAATAATCCGTCGGATTCATGAAGGTCTTTTGTAAATTGGTGTAAGTAACGGGAATTTGCCTTTATGTTATCTACTTTATTCTGTAGAGCTTTCACAATCGGGTTTAACAATTCATCATCCTCCGTTAATAAAGCCACCAATTTTGCATTGAATAATGTGTTTAGATCCAAAGGTCTTTCAGGTAATTTGAGGTTTTCACGGAATTTAGTTACTAGCTTCTTGTGTTCCGAAGGAATTTGAAAATCGATAGAGACCTGAATCCCGGAAGTGGAAGGATTAACTACAATTTGGTTATTTGACATATTTACACTATTTATAAGTTTAATATCCGAAGGATTACTAATTAAGCTACTGTTAAGAATTAAAAAATAGATAAAGGCTGAATTTGATAGAGAAATTTTAGTAAAATCAGTGTTTGAGAAATCCGAAGGAATACATTTAGAGTTGCAAAATTCTGTTCTATAATGTTTTTGATTGCAAATTGAAATGGAAGAGTTGATGAAATTCAATGCTGTAATTATTACGTGATTTCGTAATTTCGTGTAATGGGAATTTTCCGAAATCGAATTAATTGAATTACGTAATGAATTTTCACTATCCAAAGGATTAAGCGCATGATATATTTTTTTGGTAGTAGCAACTACAAATTCTTCGTCATAATGTGATGGGGGAATTGCTTTATCCGAAGGAGTTCTTGAAATTAAGTCTGTAAAACCCATATCTTTTCCCGCTAAGTGTTTGATAGTAAAGTTAAATGGTAGAAGACGATCTACCCATCTTGTCAACCGGCTATGGTATGTTTTGTTTCCGTGATTTGGTGACAAAGCGGAAAGGAGAGCTTTGTGATCGGTGATAATTTCGAATTCGGAGCCGTAGAGATAATTTTTGTAATGTTCCACCGCCCATACAACTCCTAATAGCTCTAATTCGTTTGTTGAATATTTGGATTCATGCGGATTTAAAAATCTTGAAGCAAATGAAACTGTTTTTCAAACCTTCTCATGAAGTTGTTCAAGGGATGCACCTAACCCATTATGTGAAGCATCTGTTTTTACTCTCGTGGGTTTTTTTACGTCGAAATGAGTGTTTTCAGTAAGGTTTACTATCTCAGATTTAATCTTGACAAAAGCTTTTGAGTGATCTTCATTCCAGCGGAAAATTGATTTCTTGTTTAAAAGAGGTCTAAGTGGGCTTCCGAGGGATGCTAGGTTTGGTACAAATTTAATGTACTGATTAGTTGACCCGAAGAATGATCTTAATTCTTTTAGATTCTTTGGGGTTGGAATATCTTTGATTGCTTTGGTTTTATCGAATAGTGGGGCGATTCCGGATTTCGATATTTTAAAACCGAGCCATTCGATTTCTTTTTGAAAGAATTTGCGCTTCGACCATTTAACTGCGAAATTGTAAGAATCTAACGTTGATAAAATTTTATACACGATTTTCTTGTGATCATTAAAACTTCCTTTGGAAGCGACTAATATGTCGTCGAGATAACAATTTGTAAAAGGAATGTTTCCCAAAGTTGAGTCCATGACTCTCTGAAACTCGTTTGGCATATCGCCGAGTCCGTAAAAACCCGTTAAAAATTGGTAAGTGCCTGTTATATCTCCGCCGACTAGACTAAAATTGCATTGGCTGCTAGTAAAATTGTCCAGCGCGAGTTGAGTATATGCGTTATTTAGGTCTAGATTTGTAAACCATACTTCTCCGGTGGAATTGTTTGAAATTTGAGCCGCTACGTTATCAACTAATTCGTGTATTTTAGGCATCTGGTATTTGTTCTTGTAGATTTGTTTGTTGATAAATTTTGAATCTAGGGCTAACTTTATCGATTTGTCTTTTTTACAAGTAATAACTATCGGGCTGATAAATCTGTCCTCGTCACAGTTTTCTAATTTTTTGATGTGTCCTTCGGATTTAAGTCTGTATATTTCTGTTTTTACTGAATCCAGTAAATGTAAAGGGACCCTCCTGCCTTTTAGTTGAATTGGCTTTAGTGGTTCATGAAAGTGTGTTATTTTTGTTTGATTTTTTATTTTTCCAATCCGAAGGAATAGTTGTTTGAAAGTTTTTCCAATCATTTCTATTTCGTTATCTATGTCAAGTGAAGTAACTGAATTGATAGACTTACAAGTTCTCTTGTTGTTGGAAGTTGTGTATTGTTTTTGTGAAACTTCGATTCCGACTTTTGGTAAGTTGTCGTTTCCTAAGATGTTTCTTTCATGACCTTGAGTTAGGAAGAAGTGGCATTCCTTGTTGGACCATCCATTTGAGAAAATTGGGACGATTACTTTTCCAGTGATATTTATTGCATTGTTCGTGAATCCGCAATAAAGTTCCTTAGTAGCCTTATCCACTGGATATTTTTTCACGTAGGGGTCTCTTAGTTTCAACTCGTGTAATACATTCTGTTTGAGGAAGCTTATAGGGCTTGCTGAATCCACCTGTATGTTGAGAATTACTTGGTTTTCGTTTCCTAAGCCGATATTTAGTAGTTTCTTTAGTTCCTTTCCTTCATCGTCGTAGATAGTTGTTACGTTTAATACAGAGTAGTCGTCATTATCGCTTTGTCCAGATTCTGACCATGCGTTGATTACTCCGCAGCATTCTCTATTAGCTTGGTCGATATGTACAGCTGATTGTTCCGAAGGATAATGGTGATCTGTATTATTTACAATTTGACTATCCACAATATTTACATTTTTACGGCGTGATTTACAGAGTCTAGTAAAATGTCCTCGATATTTACAAGTCGAACATGTTGTATCTTTAGCAGGGCAAACCGCTAGATGTCCCTTTGTAAAGTTTCCGCCGCATTTCATACATGTGTTGTTTCTTTCGATGTTTAGGGTGGGTTCTCTTTTTACATTAAAATGATTAAAAGATTTGTTGGAAGAATATCCGCTGGATTTAAAAGTACTCGTCATCTTGATGTGGTTTGTAATTCCTTTTTCGTCAATCAGGGCTACGTTTAGGGCTTCTAGGGGCGGTAAAGTTTCGGTGAGAAGTTTCCGTTGGATATCTGAATTCTTCGTGTTATTAATAAAAATATCTCTAATCCATTCATCTTCTCCTGTGGGAATGTTACATCGTTTAGCCATTTCTGCCAGTGCCCCCCAGAATTGTTCTAGTGATTCTCTGTCCCTCTGTTTTCTGTTTAAGAGTTTGTGTCTTTCGAAGGTTATGTTTGTTTTTCTCACAAAAGCTGTGGACAAATTTTCCCAAAATTCTTTGAAAGAAATTTGTAGAACTTTGACTCTCGTGAACTTTTGGCCGAATATTTTCTTTCCTTCGTTTCCGAGGGCTAAATAAAGTATGGATCTTAATTTTTTGTCCGCCTCTTCCAGTCTCATGCCGTTGAATTTCTTGGTTTCTGACTTTATTGAGGTCATTTCTTCATCATCGAATCTCTTTTGTTCTCGAATATTCCTCTCAATGCGTGATGTTTTTTGTGCGTCGGATTCGTTTTCCGGCGGATTTTCCAATGTTGGGGGAGGTGGATGATATCGTTCCGTTGGATTCAAAAGGTTTTCAATATCGATATTCTCTTTCGCGATAATTGCTAGCTGGAATAGATCGCTCCACTCTTCCCAAGGGATTGGTGGGTCCATTGTGTGGTTCTGCCAAAATGAAGGTATACCTCTCACGTTTGATTCATTGCTGTTTGACTGCGCCATGTTAAAATGTTCCTTTGTTACGGTTAATTCTACTTAGTTACAAATAAGATCTGTTTAAAAAGTGAATTAATCTCTAAGTTAAAACATTAAAAAGTGAACAGTCATTCTCTCCGCCGGAAAGAATGAAGATAGCAAGGTCAAATCGAGATTAACCAGTTAAGATGCTTTAAAGTAATTAATGAAATAAAATGAATCACAACACGCTTACCTGAAGATCAATTGGGTTTGGAAAAAGTGAGCAAGAGGGTTAGCCGTTGGGCTTTTAGCTCAGCCGTTATTTCACAAATTAGAAAGTCTTAATCACCAATTTAGCCCAATATCACGATAAAAATGTAATTGTATGAGAAAGTTTTGACCAAAGGTTTTACTTTTTGAGAATATATTCTTTCTATATATAGAAACCGTTTTCTTGAAAGACTCTTGAATGCCATAATATCGGATACTATTTCAATCAAAGGAATTTTCAAAGAAAATCAGAACTGGGATTTTTCTATTTAAAAAGGCAAATAATGACTTGCATTATAATTGCAATAAACTATTGCACATTAAAATATATTGCAATGTAATTATTGCTGGTATTTTTTATTGCAATGTTTTGTCAATTGGCTAATGCAAGGACCTGATGTGAAATGCATAGTTTCCAAGTTGAAAAAAACCTGAAGATCGTACCTGATAAAGGTTCCATTGTTTTGTTTCGAGGTCATTTTCGTGAAGAAGTTTTTTGATGAGTGGAACAGAAAGTCCGAGGGACTTCGGGGGAGCTGAAGTGTTCACAGCCGGGGACACAAATTTCGTTTCTCGAGGAATGCGTGTTTGATTCATTTGAAATTCGGCAAATAAATGCTTTCGGCAGCTCAGACACTATTAAGTACATTCGTCAGAAACAAAAACGAATCTTGCATTGAGCTGAGCGTTTATATACGCAAGCGTTTATTTGTTCACAATCAAAGTTGGCTTCGGTGAAACTGTATATAGTTAGTTTCGGCCAATCAAATTCGCTGCCAACATCACGTAAAGCACAGTACTTATGTAATTGTGCGTATATACATGTAGAGAAACGTACCACTGCGTACGACTCACGTTTTCGCACAGATAAATGTAAGTAGGGACGACCATTTATGCATATAAAAGCTACCTGTTTATGTGCATACGTATACAAATGAAAATAAATGAAACTTTTGCTTAATTTTCATTGATTTCTAGCAAAATTCCTCCGTTTCATTACACTTTTGGAGCTCATGGTCACAAAAAGAAGCCATTCTCAGTGAATGAGCCTTTATTGCGCTAAAGAACTATGTTTGCTGTCTCATAAAACTTTCAATTTTACATGGTGGAACAAGTGGTTGCGGGTAGAATCAACTTTATTCAGAATTAATCGTTTTTGGTGCAGAATACTGGAGTTTTTTGCAGAGTTTTTGAAAAAAATGGGGGATTTATGCAACTTGCGTACGTTTTTGCGCATAGCGCAGAAAAGATGGTATTTATGCAACTTGCATGCATTTGTCGTCCCTACAGATAAGAGAAAGAACTAGCTAGACGTAAAAAACATTAAACTAGCTAGACGTTAAAAACATCGTTTAAGCACTCTTTAAGCTTAATCAGGGGTTCCTAATATGGTATGGCAATATTATGGTCCTAGAAAATTTTCAAAAATAAATAAAGCCATATATATTTTTGAAAAAATAAATAAAGGCCATAATTTTCATAATGGAAAAAAAATTTCATGAACAATTGGTTCAAATTCATGACGAGAAAACAAACTTTTCTGACATATAGTAAAAAGTATTTTCTTAGTCCACTGTTTGTTCTATGACCTTCTTGACAGTGTGAACTCCCCAGAACTGCTTGTTGATCATTAGAAACATGTCTTGCTCAAATGTCTTGCTAGTTATCAAAGTCTGGTCTCTCGGTGAGCCCGATTTCATTCAATTTTTTCCGATTTTCCCTCTCCGAAATATGGTTCAAATAATAGCAAAAAAATTTAAAAAAATAATGGTGTTTTTAATTTCTTAAAAATACGTTATTTCCATATATGGTATGGCCATATATTTCCATACAATTATTTATTAGGAACCCCTGAGCTTAATTCCTTTAGGCCTATTAATTAATATATTAATGGGTATACCCAATGGATTCAATATATTAACTGTATATATATACAGCAGAGAGTGGATTATCCACCGTGGATATAATAACCTCAAAATATTACTCAAACAGTGTGGCACCGAGGTACCCCTGTTTGTATGCTATTTATATTGGTTTATATATGTCATCATTTACACATTGTCATTCTTTATCATGTCCCCATCTTGCATTATCAATTATGTTGTGTCACCCATACAATGTCACCCAACTTACATTCCTTCATCCATGCAATGTATGATTTCATACGTTGTCTTTCATCGCATTCACCTTTATGATACTTCTACTAGTGGTGCCTTACTCTAGCGCGCTTGCGTGCTAGAGCTCACATTCATTTCACATTAATTATATACCAGCCATGGCTAAATCTGGCGATGTGAAGCCGAAGGCTCAGACCGTAGTTTTTTCTCAAGACAGTGCTTACGCGGTGAGAGTGTAATCTTAAATCTTGTGTTGCTAAAGCATTGATACTCAGAATAACTGAGTCTCCGGCAGTTTGTTACAAAGTACATAAGACCAACACTAAAATTTTTCTAATGCTTTGAGGCGCCAAATTATACTACTTTTGTGGGGGAAAAACATTCGCTAAAACACTCGACTATTCGTCAAAAAATTCCAAATACTTCCTAAAATAAATTTTTTTCTTTCAATAACATGAAGGCCATAAACTTTACTAGATTTATTTTAATTCCAAGAAATAGACAGAGCAAAAAAGTCATAGTGACTGACCTGAAACTTGCGACAAAAACTTTCAAACACCCCCCCCCCCCCCCACCCCATCATCATTTTTTATGTATATTCTGACAATGATGTGCTGGCCAATAAAAAAAATTGGTGGCTATTTTTTACTTTCAATTGTTCATGTTGAAGAGTCTTTTTTAATCATTATTTAGCTCGTAAGACTAATCGAAAAGGTACAAATCATATTTCATCTTCAAAGGATAAATTGCCTTTAACATCAAAAATGACCACACAACTTTCCAATTAATTTCAAGATCACCTTCAGCTGAAGGGAAAGATAATCCTTATATTGGCTTATTAGGAACCAAAAATGTTCAATTCCAATTTGACTTAAGAAATACAAAATTGAATGAAAAATTAGGAATTTTCAAGCATTCCCCTACAATTTTTTAAGTTCACGGGTATTAGCCAATAAAAGCCCTTAGGACAAAATTCCCAGTTTTTACCCCGTTATTAGCGTGTCTAGTTATTTGTAGGCATACCTTTATCTGTTGTAGCTAAAGGATTACGCCGTCCATTTTCGCATTCTTGACTGAAATCTTTTCACTTTTTGTTTTATAGCCCTTCCAAAAAATCCGCTAATACGTTTTCTAAAGCAAGAAACAATCAAAAGTGACATTTTGGGATAAAATGACAGCCTTTTAGAGCGCATTTACCAATTTTCTACGGAAAATTCAAACAGCAGTATAAATTCACGTCAATTGAACTTGATTTAAAAATAGTTTTAGGGAAAGCTGAAACGGATATCTGTTTATTTCAGCGTTTCCGGGTTTCAAAAAAAGCTTGTTTGTTTTTTCGTCTTAAAACTTCAATCTTGAATATGGATTATGGAGGAATATTTTACAGAGTTTTGCAAACTGCGTTGTTTCAATTCGGTAAGTGCAGGATCAATCCTTGTTCATGAAGATCAGTTTTGATTGGCTTTCTGTTTCGTTCCTTAATCAAAATTACAATTAAGAGTTGTTCGATAAACTGTTATGTGGCAATTCGCATGCTGGAAATATTGTAGAAAAAAAAAACTTTTTTAAAAGGAGTTGTTTCAATGGAGTTCAATTTAAAGCCCAGTTTGTGTCACCGGCTGCTTTCCATTGTTTTTTTAAGCTGAAGACTGCAGATAGAGAAAATACAAAAAAGACGTTTTTGCAATCTCGAAAGAGAACGCATTAAAAAAAAACTTGATTTTCAAAAACTGCTCTAATTTAAATATTTAAATAAAAATTTGGAATTCATTACTAAAAAAAGATGAGTGATAATCATACCAACTAGATTAGAAAAATCATTAAATTATACCTAGAAAGATATAATAGAACCTGTCGAAAATTAATTGGGATTTTTTACAAGAAAATTAACTCCAAAGCACTTGAACTATAAAATTTTTTTAAAAAATGTCCTAAATTTAATGATAAAGTAGCTCGGACAATTCATCAGCCGTACAATTTATTACCTCAACTTTTCGGAAAACTTTTAAAATGTAGCGTCAGCATAAAAAATGCCTTATACAAAAAATTAGATTGTTTCGACGGAAAGACGCAAGAAACTGATTTTCTATAGATGCATAGGCAAACAAAAACTTTAATAACACTTAACTTTTTTAATAACTGATTTTCCAGCTTAGGCACTGAATTATGCTCGCATGGTTTTCCACATACATAACACTTTTTCGAATTCCTGAAAGCAAAAGTTTTCCACTGATATCAAAAAAGCAAATGTAACAACACTATCAAAAACGATCCCAATATTAACAAAAAGTTCATCTGAAACAATTTTTAAAAAACATTTAAAAAAACATATTGTTAATACTGGAATGACAAACAACTAACAACCCTGACCAATGACAGAAAACTAATTTAAAAAATTCAAAGCTTTTTTTGTTTAATCAATAAAAGAAAACTCTTATCGCAAACCGGTAGCTTCAAAAAATCTATCTCCTAAACAAAATGTTTTTCACTCGAAAACTGCTTCTAGGGAAAATTTGTCTCCTTATTAAAGCAATTACAACCTAAATTTGTTAAGTTTGTTAAATTTACTGCAGCGTCTGATATTTCAGCATGAGCGCTATGGTTTGATTGTATTTTACTTATCTGATTACCTGATAAAAATTTATTCGACAGATGCTAACAAGCAACTGTTACAATGATACACAAAAAATTTGATCTCGGAACCACAGAATCTGCAAACCCATTTCAAAAACAGGAGCCGGATAAACCATTTTGAAAATTTTTTGCATGCTCAAAAAACGGATACTTTTAGACTCCGTCGACGACCGAAGACAATTTTTCGGTCGACACTCATTTAAACTTGGATGATTCTAATCAACAATAATATCTGTTTTCTTATTTGTAAAGAGCATTAAAAAACAAACTTGAGACAAATTGAAAAAAAAAGAAAAGTCTAATTGTGGCAAGCTTCAGTTTCAAAGTAGCAAACCTGTTTTGCTACAATATTTGAACTGTAGGCTGCTTCCACGACAAAAACTTAAGAAATAATTCTCCCTAAAAAGCATAAACAAGCGTAAAACTTCTAAATATGTTTAGTGATGTTCTAGCCTGGGCATCAAAATTTGATTGCGAAGCAACCCACATGCACCTTACGCTTTATGACCTCCTGGAAAAATCTCAAGGAAGCTTACGAAAGCAATTGATACGCATTTGATTAAAATGAAAAATGTAGAAAATTGTCTGGAAAATTTTTGCTGAAACACAAAACAATGATTTTTTAATCTCATTTTTTTGACCAACAACTATGCCGAAAACTTCAAAAAAAAACTAAAAGTTTCTTGTCAAAACTTTTCATGGCTCTCAGAAACTAACACAAACACCATAGCTGTATTTTGTGAAATTTTTGTGAACATTTGAAACTCACAACGTTTTGTTGATAATCATTCAAAATAATTTTTTTTTACACCCGACTTAAGATTTCTGTTGTCGATTTTGGAAATTGATTTCGGTCATTCGCCAGGTCTAATTGAACGCGGATTGAGAATTTTTTGCATGAAGAAAAATACGTATTCGAAATGTTTTTGCTAATGGGAGACAACGAGAATGCAAGTGGATTCACGTTTCTGCAAATTTAACAATTATAAAAGAGAAGCAAGTCGTTTAGTCTGGCCAAACTATTCGATAAAAAAAGGCATTGCTTTGAGAATTTAATTTGAAATGTTTTCAGAATTAAAAACTGGTTGAGTTTGATATGTACGTTAGTGTTTCTCTTCGTT